AATGCCCATTTTGTACAAGATATAATGCTTTATGTGGCCTTGGATAAGATTCACATTAAGAAAACAGGACGTGGGCTAACATTTTGCAAGAGGAAATGCTGTTTGGAGGACAAAGGAAAGGAAGTCTAAGTGTACAGTACACTCACTAATAATTGGAAATGTATGTGGTGAACAATATTACCTACTTAAGCAATGATTAAGTAAATAATGTTCATAGGAATTGCTGAAATAGAATGTGAGGATAGTTAAGAATAATTTGTTACATATAGACATGGATCCTTCTTCTGCAAGTTATTGCAATAGATAACTACAATCTTTAAGAAAACATGTTTCATTCACCAAGTACAATTCAGAACAGATATTTGAATTTTAAGGCAAATATTACTGTATTAATATATCTTCTTATTATACCAACATTGCATTAACAGCTAAATTATTTTGTGCCTCATAATCCTTTCCCATCAATTTCTTTTTTAAGTGTAATTATACTGACCTTTAATAAAGATGTATTTCTGATTACAATTGAATGTCTGCTTCACTTTAAAGAGCATCTCTACAAGTCTTTCATCATAGTTTTGATTCTATATGAATCATTAAAGTAGCTGAAATTTTCCAAGCTTCTGAGGCGGTTTCAAAAACTGCATGCTTAGTTTCATTGAAATATTTTTTTCAAATCCTTTGCAAAGTCATATGAAAAAGTGATCCATGACTTAAGATGCTATGGTGGACAATGTCAAACATTTTGAGGGAATTTCTTAAATAGGCTGGTTCATTCTTAACTGAAAGGAAATTTACATTTTTCTCTCATAACATTAAAATATCTCTATAGTCTATGAAAATTAATATACCTTGTAGATTATATCGTGGAAATTATGGAATGCTATTTCTCCTTTTTTCAAGTGCCTTCAGAAATTTCTAAAAAGATAAGGTGTTTTTCTAAAGACCGATTCAGCATATAACAAGGAAAGGTCATTTCCTGAAGGCTCAATCTATAACCTTCTAAATGAATGAATGAATGAATGAATGAATGAATGAATGAATGAATGAATGAATACTCCAGAAACTGATGTCCCACAGGTTTTGTTCTTTGGTACAGAACAAAACTAACTTTGAAGTGAGACTTAAAGGAAAAGATAAAGGTTCCCCTCGTACATATGTGCTAGTCGTTCCCGTTTCTAGGGGGCGGTCCTCATCTCAGTTTCAAAGCCCAGGAACCAGCGCTATCCAAAGATGTCTCCATGGTCATGTGGCTGGCATGACGAAATGCCAAAGGTACACGGACCGCTGTTACCTTCCCACCAAAGTGGTCCCTATTTTTCTACTTGCATTTTTTACGTGCTTTTGAACTGCTAGGTTGGCAAAAGCTGGGACCAGTAATGGGAGCTCACCCCATTACGTGGCACTAGGGATTCGAACCACTGAACTACCAACCTTTCAATCAACAAGCTCAGCATCTTAGCCACTGAGCCACCGTATCCCTCTTGAAGTGAGATTTAGGAACTGCCAAACTTGAATAGCAAACATGCAGTTCACACAAGGAAACAGAACAATCTTTCTGATCTGGAAGAGTTCTATAAGTAACTGGGGGAGGGGGGTGTTTAAAAATTAAGAGTAAAGACTTTTACTGGCTACAGGAAATGTTTAGAAGCTGCAATTTCTTCCAAAGGAAACATTACAAAGTGCTGACTTGAAAGGTGCCTAAACTTTGGGCATCTGCCATTTTCACTACTTTCTTATTTTGAACCTGTAAACAATTGAATGTAAGTAGTAAGTATAATTTAAATTTGTGGAAAAATGTTGTCTATAACTTTTTACCATGTTGAGATTGTGTAAACTTTTGGTTCTTTGAAACATACAATTTGACTAGAATGTTTAAACTTTTTCATAGTATGCTAATGTTAACTTTATTAAGTATACATGCTGACAAAAGATAATGACTTTTATTGATACAAGAATATTCAATACAGTATGCCCTAAATTTAGTCAACATCTACAATACTTGCTGGAAAAATCTATAATCATACTGAGTAAGCTATTTCTAAGATAAGAACAGGCACCATAAATTTATTATATCTGAAGAGTCCAACTTAAATTGAATGTTCATATTCATATTTACATCCGCATGCAAAAAAGAGATTTTAAAGAGACTTCTAGTGTGTCTCTATTATATGACTAAAATGCATGCAAACATTATTTCATGAATATCATACATCACTACTATCATTCTGTGAATGCCATACTTCATGGGTGTCAAACTCGCATCATCACGGTGGCGTCACGTGATGTATCACGACTTCCCCCCCTTTGCTAGACCAAGTATGGGTGTGGCCAGTATGTGAGGCATCCGGCCTGTGGGCCATGAGTTTGACAGCCCTGCCATACTTCAAACCAACTAAGACTTATCAACCGGTGCTAGACAGCTTTAAATTATCAGGAAAAAATAACTATAATAAAAAAAGGAAATTGTTTTGATTTCAGTAACAGAAATTCATATTAAATACATTATTTTACTTATCCAATTTCTCTTCCATTACAACCTACACAAAGCCCTAAGTCATATTGATATACATCAAATCAATCTTTTGCCATGTTTGGCAAATTGTCTATGGTGTCGTTCTATATAAAATGAATTATATGCAAGTGATGCATCCATCTTGGATCATTTTGATCTCTCAGTGGTTTTTAATACCATCAAACATGGTATCCTTTTGTACTGGCTCAGAAGACAAGAATGGTGAGCACAACATGTAATAGTTCTGTTCTAGGATTGCTTATTGGTGGTGGTGGTAGCGGTGGTGGGCTAGACCTAGGCCCCCTACTTTACATGATTCTCTGGGGTTCTACTCTCTCCCCATTCTTATTTAACCTATAAATGAAACCACCTGTCATCTTGGGTTATATTGCTACATTGATGATATTTATCTCTACCTCTCAATGACCATCTTTGCCCCTGACTGATCAAGTAATGTTGTCCTCTTATCAGTGTCTGCATGTTGTGAGTATTTGGGTGGAGAGGAACAGGCTTTAATCTAATCCTAGAAATAAGTTAATAGGGTTTTTAAGGTCCTGAGGACTTTCCTTTTTTAGTTCTGGATAGAACGACACTTTCCCAGACAGTGCTGCAATGCAATTGAGGGACTCCTCTGGACTTTTGGATTCTGTGAGACAGGTGGCAATTGTAATCATGAATCCTAATTTCATCTTCATATAAAACTAGACCAGTGGTGGGATTCAAATAATTTAACAATCGGTTCTCTACCCTAATGTCTGGCTGGTTGGGCGTGGCCATCGTGGGCATGGACAGGGGGTGTGACAGACAGAACTTGACCTCCTGCACCTCCTAGGAGCAAAAACGGGCCATGGGGGGTGCACCGCTCCCCCCGTGGCCTGTTTTGGGCCAGGAGGCTTCCCTGCACTTACCTGGGAACCAAAATAGGGTGCGTGGAGACTCCTGGAAGGGGCAGGGTGGGAAGGGGCAGAGCCAGCCAGCAATTTAACCACTGGCTCGCCTGAACTGGCCCGAACCAGCTGAATCCCACCACTGAATTAGACCCATTCCTGGAGGGGGAGGATTTGCTCATGCTTTAGTCATCTCATTATAGACTACTGCAACACTCTCTACAAGGACTGCCCTTAAAGACAACAAAGAAGTTGCAACTGGTTCAGAATACATTTGTGTGAGAAGATATGAGTGTACTTTTGGGCTCCCAGGGTATAACACTACTTTTCAAGCGGATTTCTACTAAGTTGACATGCACCTGGTCCTTCTATTAAGCAATCTGATGGAACCCAGAAAGACTGATTTTTCTATTACAGTAACTGCCTTATAGAACAACAACTCAACTATCAAAATCCAGATGGCTCCAATCTTTCAAAAGGCACTGACAATATGGATGCTGAGGGCATTGGGTCAGGGCATTGAGAAAGTGTTTTTTAAAAAAAAGATATTTTATAGAAGGGGTTGTTAGTTTTCATTTGTTATTTGTCTCAGTGATATTTGCTTTTTTTAGAAATACAGTAGATGTTTTTGTTGTGATTTTAAACTTTGTTTTAAGCTACACAGAATCATATTGAATTGGGCAGCAATATAAATTGAATAAATAAAGTGCTGTAAGCAGGAATAGATAACTCAGAATAGGCCAAGAGGCTAGAAAAGATCAATTTATATTCAAATACCAAAAAGAATGAACAAACTATCAAATTTTGTTTGATATATTTTGTTTTCTTTTTATTTATTTATTTTATTTGTAAGCTGTCTGGAGGCACATGCAGTTGAGTAGCCTCAAAACTGAAATAAGCAATTGAATAAATGAAATAAATTTGTGACTTCATGAAGCAGTGGCATCACATGGCTAACTTCTGATGGATGATAAAAAGGCAAGAAAATTTCAGAAAGATGTGTAACATCAATAAGATCCCAGATTACTTGGGATTCTGAATAGCCTTTAAGAAATGGGTGGATCAACCACCTCTTCTGCCTTCTAAGAGAACGTGTAGGTTGGCCAAGAAGCAAGAGTTGGAACGAAACATGGAAATTTGGAAAATGACCTCAGGAAAAGTACAATTCACCAGCCAAGTTCTTCCCCTTCTGTAACTCATGGCCATAGTAGCTCTGAGGCATATGACCAGAGTGTAAGGCATCAGGAAAAAAATCTTGAAGTTTAAAAACCCGTGTATATAAAAATAAGAAACAAAGGAGCGAGTTTAGTTTAACATGGATAGTTAACTGCCAAAACCTTTAAAATGGAATGGAATGGAATGAAGTATTCCTCTCTGGTAAAAATAAAAAGAATCCTCAACTATTCACTGTCCTTGCTTCCTTCCTCACCTACCACACTAATGAATCAATGGAGAATAAGTAAGAATAGCTGCAATTTAAATGCTTCTACAATTGTTTAGAATGTAGCTTCTATGTGCAATACATTCACTATTTAAAAATTGTAAACTTTAACTTTATAAAAATTTAACTTTATATTATTAACAGTAGTAATTTTTCTTACCTGTTTCCCATCCAATGTGCAAATTCTCTTGACAATGCCTGAATCTAACTTAATAGCTTCTGTTATATCAGTCAACACTTGGTCAAAGGAATGAGCGGTCTTTTTATTCAGCAAAATTCTCACAGCTTTTCGTGGCTTTACTCCACTGCGTATAACAGTTACCAGTTTAGGTTTAATGAAGTCTTTGCTCTCCCTTATTTCACTTTTTGCAGATGTTAAAGATGTGAAGGATCGAGATGATCCAGATTTTATGTTGACAGACCAATTTGGATTAACATTCTTAGTATAATCAACTTTCCGAAATGGCTCATTGGAAGCGCATACATAACTTTCACCTAGGGAGGAGGAAAAAAAAGAAATAAGGAAGATGTTATTTCTTTTGTTCTCACTCGATATGCTTTCAATAATCAATTATCTATACATGTGCGTATATGTCATTTGAGTATTTGCAAATGCTTAATTTTTGAAATAGTCCAAAAGTAAAGAAAGGTATTAATAAAACTATGACATTCAAGGAAAACCTTCTGGGTTAAATTAATAATATCAAGCCCAACATTTTTTGCTTAGAATAATAAATATATATCATTAGGAAGGTGACAAAGAGAGCATTAAGGAAAGAGATCTTGCATTTTATTAAAGCCAGGAACTAATATTCAATAGCCTGCTGTCTTTTATATTGGGCTATTAGTCCTTGGTACTAAGAACTACTAGTGTAGAATTTACACTACATTCATATTTGATACAAAAACAATAGTTTCTCCAGTGCTATGAATTTGGCAGATGTTAAATGTTAAATATTCAAGAATATTTATATAATGTTTTTCATCTCAATCCTACCAATTTCAGATATACAGTAGTGGCCAAAATTGTGGAAACCTTTTGGGAAAAGTGTATTTTTGAGGTTTGATGGCTAATAACACCACTTTTTTTTGGAGTTTCAAGATAATCATATTCCATTGCTGGAATGGCCTGGGAATAGCCCAGACCTTAATCCAACTGAAAATCTATGGAGCCGACTAAAAAAACTTGTTAGTCAGAAGCAATTTAGCAATAAAACTCAGTTAATAAAAGCAATCATTCCATCTTCACATTCTTCACACATTTCACATTGTAACAGCTGCAGAACTAAAAGACTTGGTTCACTCCATGGGAAGACGCTGTAAGACGTAAGACGAATACTTACCCAAATAAGTATTAACTGATGTGATAATTTTTGTACATGTCATTTTTTCTATGGTGATAATTTTTGTATATCTTGTTTTTTCTACGTGTTTCATTTTTTTCTTTATACTGTAAGTGCTATTCTAATAGCAAATTCTTCATAAAAGTTATTGCATTACATTCTTGATTAAATTATCTTTCTATTGATATATAATTTTATGGTACTACTCCAAAAAAAAAAAAAGTGGTGTTATTAGCTAGTTTTAGAAAATACAGTTTTCCCAAAACGTTTCCACAATTGTGGGCCACTACTGTATATATGTCCTCCCAATGAACTTGAAAAACAACTTTCCTTTTATAACAATAGACTACAGAGAATATAGAGGTGTCTCTCTCCATTATGCCCTCTCTACTAGAACAACATAGAGAACAGATTGAATCCATCCTTATTAGGATTCCAAAAAGCCATAGGAGCTTGTTTTTCCATAGGTCATAAGTAGCACTCTGTACTGGTGTTCATAACTGATTATGTTGCTGGAATATTAGGCACTCACACTTATGATTGGAATGGTATATGCACCTTTGTAAAACAAACAAATTACATTCACTTCATTCTTATTCAGTTTCAACAAACAACACAGACCTATAAATTCTGCACTTAAAGTAGCTAGTAATTAGTCAGCGTTTTGGGAAAGAGGAGGCAGAATTTATTAGCAATCCATCTAGCCATGACAGCCAATCAAAATAATATAGAAATGCTGGATTTGCAGTTCTTGCTAGCAAGTTCCTTCCATTCAAAGGAATCTAAAGGATGAATTGGGAATGTAGAATCAGTGTAATAATGTAAGGATGTTACTCTAAGTTACGTAGATAAATACATTGATATAAACCAAAAGTTCTTAAATTGTATGTCATTGTCCTGGATAAAAGTCACAAAAATGAAACACTATCAAAATTCTCTCTGACTTGCCCTATAAATGACACTGCCAATGTCACTTCGTCTAAGCCCCATCAGAGCACTGGAAGTAAGCCATTGGCAAGGATAATGCAGCATTAAGTCTGGAGTCTGAAGTGGCCTGGTCTGTTACTTAACTGGAAACAACCTTTTTTTTTTCTTATTTAACCATATCACTGCATTATATTTAGCCAACATAAGCAATACTACAGGCTATTTGGTAGAAGAAGAAAAAAATTATTTCTCAATGTAACTGATTAAGGCCCATCCAACTCTTCATTTGATTCTCATGTGATGAATATTTACAAATGAGATTTCAAATTACATATGTTTGTTACAGACCTCTCCCAAAACCCAAAGAGGAATTGGGTGTAATTTTTCTTCCAGGAATAGGTAGCACTTCACACAGTATCTTTTTATAAGAGAAATTGTTCAGACAGAAAAACTACATGGATATGGAAGGAAACCTTCCAGTGGCCAGCATGACCTGTTCCTTCCTTTGTTTTCTCCCCTGGGATCTTAAGCAGTCGGAAAAGCATTGCACCGCACCTGGTTTCCAATTATAAAAGGAAAATGCTGAGAGCTCCGGATTAGCTCTGCGTGGGTGTGTTTGGAGAAAGATTTGTGTTGTGTGAGAGAACAGAAAGAAAGGAAGAAGATGTAGCCAACAGAGTGAAGCAGCTGTCAGCTCAACAGGCAACTGACAGTAAAGGAAGCGCAAGCTTAAAGTTCAGCAAACCAGAAGCAAACAAGGTGAAGGGAAAAGTGGAGCCCAACAGCTTTACCACTCCAGCAACTGGTCCGACATTTGGCTTTTCTCGCCTCTGCACAGGCTGAGAAACTGCTTCAGCAATGGTTCAGAACTGCAGGACAGCAACAGAGGTCAACTTGAATGTGGTTAAATGATGGCTAAAGACTTTGGTATAAATTCAATCAATAGAACTGTTATAGATGATTTATAAGAATAAGATACAGGCATAGCTGTTAGTATAAGTAACAATGTAAGCTTAATAACAAGTGGTAAGATGGAAGTTAGGACAATAAGTTTGTTAAATTTTCTGTAATAAAAGTCTCCCTGAGACTTTCCCCTGAAACTTTCTTTTGTGTTTCTCCCTGAAACACAAAAGATAAAAACAATCTGTTTGTTGCTGGCCTGTACTATTTCCTCAGAATATTCCCTCGCATTTAGGGGCAGTATTGAGATGGTACAGCACCCAAGCAAATCACATGCCAGTCTTCAATGAAAACAAAAATAGAACCAGGAAAATGGAGTTTGGTCCTACAAAAATTGGAGCTCTACAAAAGATTGTTAATATTTTCAGTATCACACTAGATACATATCCATATATTCGAGGTTGGGTAAGGCGGTTGGAAATGGAGAAAAAGGAAGAATTGGTTGGAGATAAGGCAGATCCTAAAACCTAACTACCACTGCAAAGAAAAGCAATTTCATCCGATGCCTGGCTACAGATGAGGAGACACATGATTAGGCAGCAAGATGAGAAAAGAAAAAGAATAGCCAGAAGGAAAGAGGATTAGATTGTGGAGAGAATCTGAAGGGCTAGAAAAAGAGAAGGAAGAAGGAAGGAGTTCCAGAACACAGAAGAAGCTTGTCTGAGGGAAACTCAAACCCATCCAGTCCTCTCAAACACACAAACATTCAACTTTGCCTATTGGACATAAAGGCCTTAAATATCTGAGGATCTTCAAACTTTCATAGGACAAATACAGAATCATTCTTCGTAATGTTTGAATATAATGCAGTTGCTTGGAAATGGCCTAAGGAAGAGTAGATAATTTGGCTAGTTCTATGTTTAACAGGAAAAGCTTTAGGAGCACAAACATGGCTCCCTTCAGAAGAAGTCTTTGACTATAATTGAGTAAAGAGGGCTGTATTGTATAGATATATGAAGTACTGGCAAATGTTTAGGCAATATTCCCAACTTACATGAAGGAAAGAATTATGAACAAGATTAGAAGAGTTAGGATGAAAGTGGTTAAACCCAGAAATACATGGTAAGAAAATTGGATGAAATTGTGTTAGCATACATCATTGGCATCCTTCAGTCTCAAAAGACTATGGTATCGTGCTCTGGAAAGAAGTCCTAAAACAGCATCTAGTGTGACTAAAAAGGCCAATTCGAGAGTGGCAATCCCTTCCACACTGAGGGCAGATACATTCTGTCCCCTGCCCAGTCCCCAGATTTCACTGGTTCCGGGACTGCCTCTTTGCCTCAGCCTGCCGAACAAGTGTCTCTTCGAATTGGAGAAGGCCATGCTGCGTCTTTAGCCTCCAAGCTGAACGATCGGAGGTCAAGGTTTCCCAGTTGTTAATGTCCATTCCCAGGGCCTTTAGGTCCCTCTTGCAGATATCCTTATATTGCAGCTGTGGTCTCCCTCTGAGGCACTTTCCCTGAACTAATTCTCCATACAGGAGATCTTTCGGAATCCGACCATCAGCCATTCTCATGAACCATCAGCCATTCTCACGACATTCTCAAGAATGTTAGCATATTTTATCTAATTTTGCCATCTTTGTTTCTGAAAGTTGCATCCCTTGAAAAAGGATTACTTAGCATAATTAAAATCTGAAAAGATCAGAAAAAGTTTTGAAATTGGAAAAGGACCAAGGAGTTGTCAAGTGTCGACTGGCAAAGTAACACTGAAAAAAAAGAAAGAAAAAGAGATGGCATAGGAAATTTTCCTGATCAGGAGCCAATAAAATACCTATTGGGAATATAAAATGCTATACCATTGTAAACCAGGGCATATGCTTCCAACACATTCAGCATTATGGGGATAATGGGCATTCAAAGACAGACAAATGTTTTTGTAAGGCTGATAAAAGTAGAAGACATACAATAAATAGAGAATTTAACTCTGCCCTGGGATTTAAATAGAGGACAGGAGCAAGACTCCTCACTAAAAGAAGTTGGGAAACAGCAAAAGAAGGAAATAAGGATAAGGAAAACGTGAATCACATAATTATGTTACTAAAATTAATCGTAATGTTACAGAGTATATATAAATAAAACTTTTTTGGGCAGATAGTTAATGTTAAGTAGGTATGTTGACAAATTCTAAATCAATAATGTTTTTTCTCTTCCCTCCTTTTATGTCACCAGATTAGAAAAACAAGTTTCACACCAACTTTTGCAAATAAATGTGAGTCAGTCTGAAATAATTTGCTATAGTGATTGCATGTTAATTAACTCACAC